TGACTGCGCCGGTCAGCTTCGGAGAGCTGACCATTGACAGGAGTCGGAATGTGTCGGTCGCCAGAGGATGTCATTGCGTCGCCGTCCGCGATACTGCCGCCGTAACCAGAGTCGTTTTCGAGTAGCGACTGGAGATGCGCTGCGTGTGCAGAGGTGGAGCCGGATCCAACGGTCATGAATTGCGGTGGCCTGCTCGATGACGGCACTGGTTGGTAAGGCGCGTCGTTGTCGTCCTTTTCAAGTTCCTGGTCCATGGGGGCCTTGCCCTTCTTTGAGAAATAATCTTGGCTCATTTTCAGTCGGTCGAGGGTTGAAGCAGCATGGTCGAGCAACCAAAAAAGTGCGAGTTAAGGACGGGAAGAAAGGGGATTTGTTTGGGAGGCGTCGTAGTTTTAGCGTATAAGGTCGGTCAAGAATGTTTTTTAGGGAAGCTCGTCATGTACTCCGTACAGAATGGAACTCCCAGCGCATGATTTTGGGCGGAGCGGCAAATTTCCCACCACCCTTTGTCGCGGCGCTTCGCCCATTGGTTCAAAAATTCGAGTCGGAAAATGCCGCCGCCATCCGAGGCCGGGCTGCCACGGGCGGTGAGGTGCCACGCTGCTACGGTGTCTTATCTAATCACGTAGGTTATCTAATCATCACCCGGGTGGAACCTGGTCGGACCTTTCAGCGGGTCAGCGCAACCGGTCTGAGCAGTCACCAGTGCACCACCACTCGCCAGTGGTTTCCTTGGAAGTTACCTGACGCTGTGCCAAGCTGTTGTACGTACCCTTGTCCGTTACGTGAGTGCCAGGCAACCCGAATATCATTCAACCTCCACTATCAACTCCTCTCCGCGATAGCTGCACAATCGCTACCATCGACTTCGTGAACGCCCCACTGCTGCTTTTCCGATACACGACGCTTCACCAGTTTCAAACCAATCGCACCCGACCGCCACGATGAATGTATGCTGCGCGCACCTTTCCCCGCCACGACTCGACCGACTACTAACCTTGTGGCCTAGATTCTGGAATGGGCGTTTGGCAAGCGAATGACGCCAGCGGAGCGTCTGCGCAAGAACCAGCGCATGCTTGATAAGGCGATCCGAGAGTTGGACCAGGTCCGAACCAAGCTGGAGAAGCAGGAGAAGCAGTTGATCACCCAGATCAAGCAAAGTGCTCAGAAGGGACAGATGGGAGCCTGCAAGATCCAGGCCAAGGACTTGGTCCGGACAAGAAGGCACGGAGTCATGAAATCCAAGGGTATATGGCGCACAATCCGGCTGACTGTTGTTGTAGATACATCGAAAAGTTCTACGGGATGCGCAGCCAACTGCAGAAGATCTCTCTCCGGCTTCAGGTACTACTCAGCTGTTCACAAGGATTCGCGGATACTTGACTGACACTTGAACCTTACAGACATACCGCACCAACGAACAAATGATGACGGCCATGAAGGGCGCAACCCAAGCCCTCGGCACCATGAACCGATCGATGAACCTCCCGGCTCTTCAACGCATCGCAATGGAGTTCGAGCGCGAGAACGACATTATGGACCAGAGACAGGAGATGATGGATGACGTTATGGATGATGCCATGGATGTCGGTGCTGAGGAGGAAGGCGAGGAAGTTGTCGAGCAAGTTCTGGAAGAGATTGGAGTTGACTTGACATCGGCGGTAAGTACACGCATCGAGGAATCGTTGGTTCATTGGCTAACGAGGGGCTGTACAGCTGGGCGAAACACCATCTGGGATGCAAACTGCGGCCGTACCCGAAAGCAGAGTCGCCCAAGCAATCGGGGGAGGTGGAGGCGGAGGCGGAGGTGCGGATCCCGGCGACGACGACCTTCAGGCCCGCCTCGACAGTCTTCGGCGGTAGTCACAGCAATGGAGCGGATGGTGGAGTGATGACGATATTTTGCGGACGACAGCGATGTATGAGGGAGGCAACGGAGCAGCTAGTTTGTTTTGTCACATATGGAACGGCGTTCCAGGATAAGGGAAGGCGAACTTTTTCTCAAGCAAGGCTTCTAAATATGCAATACGTCTGCTTCGAAGGAAGTTGCTGTGAACGAGCCGTGAATTGCCATTGCCATCCGGGAAGTGTCATCGCGACATTGCGTCATTCGTCTGCAGCCAGGACCGGTGGCCCCGCTGAGACGTCTGCATTTTGCAAGGCCGAAAGAAATGAAGGATTCGTCTGCGCAGATGAAGATTTCAGCACCTCCTGAGTTGACTATCGGCAGCGTGCTACAAAAGCTTATCACGTTTCAAATCATCACATGAGTGTAGGATGTATCTGCCTCCGGTGTTGAGTGCGGCTTTATTCACAGTATGGTGATACTGGGTGATCGGTTACTCATGATTGCGGGTCACGTTTATGGGTTATCTGACGCACATAGTTGTGTTGTCTGAGGTACCTGGTATGCAACGTAGTTGAGAGCAGGTCGTCGTGGTGAAAGTAAGGATCCAGGCCAGTTGTTGCATCATAACAATCACACAAACCTGCCACTCGTAGAATGCCATGTCGGCACTGATGGCCCGAGTCAGCGATGCTGTTAGTGTTAGTCAAGCAGATGTGGGCCATGGCATGTCTCCAAAGCAATTTACATATTCCAGGCCAGCCCAACCCAGCCAGATGGACCCCCGACGGACCCCGATTTCTCGGAACAACAGGTTGCTTGTTTTCTTGTGCCTATGAGGTTCCATAGAGGAGGATATAGACGAATACTTGATCGATACCTTAAGCAGGTACCCTTACACGCCCCGCTTGATCGGCAGGGTTTATATGCCAGCTGAGCTGTCATGCCAACACGTCGACCAGCGAAAAGCAGATCCGCACTTAGTCCATGGTATCGACCTAAACCACGCAATAACATTATGCGTCGTGCTTGTTTGTCGTATAAATAAGCTTGATGATGGCATTTTTCTGGCCACAGCAACTGACGCTTTGGGCAGCTAGTACCAAATTCTAGATTGGGTCGGAGTGCCTAGCTTAAACGCACATCTTGGCTTTCGGCCGAGGCTCGTCTTACCACCAGCGTGCTAAGTAGGTTCTGTTCGATTATCATCGTATCTCCGACTTGGTAGATTCGCATTGAGAGACGCAATGGCAACGTCTTCCTCGCATGCGGCATGACTGGGAGCCAAGGTTGAACATGTTCGTGTATGCGTTACTTGAGACGCCTAACCACGCAAACCCAAACACGCGATTTACGTTTCTACCTCTGGAAGCCTTTTAACAAATGATGCCGTGGATGCTTACCTAGCAGGATGACGAGGACGCAATCTGATTTGGTATTTTGGCGCTGGTGATCGGCGAGAGAAACGCCGATTGTGACCTAGCACTTCTATTGGGTGGGTGTTAGAGTGAGGTCAGTTGTCCACTTTGAGATCGAGACTACACTCGTCACTTCAGACGGACATAGTGAAAAGTAGTATCCGTACCTTAACATGAGAAGAGTCTTTTTCGAAGAGCGTGTGAGATTGTTTTAGAGCTCATGTTACTATATTTTATCCCCTCTCTGTTCCTGCAGCTACTCGGGAGCATATGACCGTCAGTCTAGCCAAGAACTACAGTCCAAACATCAGACACATCTCACAAGAACAGTCGAAACTGCCGGCGTGCCCTTTGTTTCTTGGCTGAGGGATCCAGAACCAGATCCGGTTTCCCGCCGGACGCCACACACAGACACTCGCCTCGCTTCGTCTCGCCTCACCTCCGGACCTGACGCGGGTCATCACCGCCTCAAGTGAGACTTGACAACGCAGGCGGCAATACACTACTGTGTACACCACAGCCAAGTGGAGCTTGCGCACCCCAGTTGGTGCCGTTCATGATTGAGGTGCTGAGGTGCACAACTTGCGTCGCCGACTTTGTGGTCACACAACTCTGCGTTTCTCCCTCTTCAGTGTTAAGCGCTGAGACTGCCATCTTACCTAGCTTCTCGTCTACCTCACTCTACACAAGTATTTGAGGTGTTGAAAAGCACTAGCACTCAGACTATCTTAAGCTGTTGCGATCCCTCCTATATAGGGACGTAGGGTAATTACTCCGTAGTGAGAACTAGAATGAGAAGCTCAGGCCAGGGCACTCAAGCAAAGAAAGGTCCCATAACGGAGAGCAGGTAATTAAGCGCCCGCTAAAAACGACGGGACCCTGTGAATCGTTCCCGCCGCTTTCGCTTTTTACATCCCCGCCAGCTTGCCCTTCCCCCTCCAACCCGGCCAACTCTGGCCTCTGCTCCCCCCCGTGCCCCCCCTCCCCCTCCTAGGCTGCTGCGGAGACACTGACCAAACGAGCCAGCACCAAGCGGGCAGCATTTCGCATCGCTCTTCCACAACCTCAACTCTCTTTCTCTCTGCCGCCTACCTTCTTTCCCTTACCTTGTTCACACAACACCAACAACCTCTTCTCCTTTTCCTAACGACATTGCAGCCTTTGGCAAACTCCAAACTGCATCCTCGACACCTCTGTTCCGCCATCAAGATCCTGCTCCAACCACCTCGTCCCGGCACTCCGAATCGCTGGGTACGTCACTCTGGTGAGTTACCACTGCTGCTTCTACCCTTCTGGTATCCCCCTCCACCATCATTCAGCCAACCTACGTCACTTGTCACCCCCAGACCACCTGAACACACAAACATCATACATCCCGCTATTGATATCTGCTTGTTCCCGTATCTTCATCAAAACCTTTCTTTTGGGGCTTGCGCGCAGCAATTTCTGGACATCCGGTTGCGCTTCGAGTCTCGCAGAGCACGTACCCGTGCCATCTTGATATCCGACGTCAGTCACATAGCGACTAGCTGGCGGCGCACTTGGTCACCATACCGCCTGCCGCTCAGAGACCAGTATCTCTTCCTCTCTTGGCTCTTTTCGTCCTATGCATCAATCCTCTTCAGCTCGGACCCGACCCTCTGCCTAGCCCCCGGTCGGCCTCGGACCATTCTGCCCCTCCATGGGCCCGACGACCGTTCCCTTCAACTACTTCGCCCAATACTGACGATACCGTTATCAGACATCCATCTTCGCGACATTCCTTTTCCGACGTCCAAACCGAATCCGACGAAGACAGCTTTACTGCGAACCCATCGAATTCGATTGACTCTGCGTGCGGACCGGTACCTCTGACGTCTTTTCGAGGTTCTTTAAACTGGCAGGAAGCAAGCGTCGCAGCCTCTCCAACCAGGGGAGTGGTCTGCTGACTAGAATGTTCGGCGGCGGCTCTAACTCAGCTGCGTCCAAGGCGGAGAGCGACCCGAAAGAGGACCACAAGTCGCCTTCGCCCGAATCCGACAAGGGCGCCTCGGCCTCCCTCAAGTCAAACGACCAGGCTGCCAGCGGCGACAAGCGGAGCGGAAACAGCAGTCCCCCCGGACGGCAGCAGGATGGCGCCGCGGATAAGAAGCGCCGTGCCAGCGGTGTTCAGAGTAAGGCCGCGGGCCTGCTGGCTCATGCAAAGAACACCCTGAACTTTTCCCAGGTCGGCCGATCCAACTCGGATGTGAGCTCGCAGACCCCTCTCCAGAAGCTGGGTAAGCAGGACCCTGCTCTCGCCGTGCCCCAGGGCCAGCACAACAACTCGGCCGGCGATTCAATTCCCGGCCCGCGTTCGACCTTCCGCGTCGGTGTTTGGGAAGATAGGAACAAAAAATGCCGTCGTACCATGGAGGATACCCACGCCTTCCTCTACAACTTTTTGCATACCCCAGCCCCTGCCATTGATGGTAAAAAGAGCGACTCCGTATCCGACGAGAAGGACGCCTCTGCTCAAGAGATGGTTGAAACGGACAATGGATACTTTGCCATCTTTGATGGTCACGCTGGTACCTTTGCTGCCGATTGGTGTGGCAAAAAGCTTCACATCATACTGGAGGAAATAATCCGAAAGAATCCCAACGGCCCCATTCCCGAACTCCTCGACCAAACGTTTACTTCTGTTGATGCACAGTTGGAAAAGCTCCCTCTTAAGAACAGTGGATGCACAGCTGCCGTCGCCGTGCTGCGTTGGGAGGAACGGGTCCCGAGTGACCGCTCGGCAACCGGCTCTCAGGCTATTGCGCCAGCTACTGCGGCAGCCACGAAAGCTGCCAAACTGAGCTCAGAGGAGGCTGCAGACGACAAGGCAGCATCGAGCGGTCCTGAGGCTACTCATGCCAAACTGAAAAGCGCGGCAAGCCGCCAGCGCGTTCTCTACACGGCCAATGTTGGCGATGCCCGTATTATACTCTGCCGCGGTGGTAAAGCGCTTCGCCTTTCGTATGACCACAAGGGCAGCGACGAAAACGAGGGCAAACGGATAGCGAATGCAGGTGGTTTGATACTCAACAACCGCGTCAACGGTGTTCTGGCTGTAACGAGAGCTCTCGGCGACACCTATATGAAGGATCTTGTCACTGGGCACCCGTATACGACCGAAACCGTCATTCAGCCCGAGAGCGACGAGTTCATGATTATTGCTTGCGATGGAGTAAGTGTTGTGCTTTTCAAGCAGTGAAGCATGGCTAATTTGTGTTCTAGCTTTGGGATGTCTGTTCCGACCAAGAGGCTGTGGACCTTGTTCGCAACATTGAGGACCCGGTCGAGGCCTCGAAGCTTCTTGTTGACCATGCGTTGAATCGCTTCAGCACGGACAACTTGTCCTGTATGATTGTTCGTCTCGACAAGGAGGCTTTGTTAGAAAGCCAGAATGACAAGGAGAACGCCATTGGAATCGAGCGCCCCCCACCGAATCCAGCCAAGGTCAGCGAGTCCGAAAAGATTATCCGGGAGACAAAGCAAAAGATTGCCGAGGGTGGTGCCCCGGCCATTGGCGTCTCGGCAAGCAACAGCGGACGTGGACATGATCCTGCGTCGATTGACAATGGTGATTTCAAGCCGACAACGCTGGATGGAACCCTTGAGGAGGAGCCTGGACCGATTGATGACGGCGAATCCCCCGAGGTTGCCCCTGACACGACTCCGGCCATTCTTCCGGCCGAGGTTGAGCAGACCGATGCTGCAGCCCCCAAGAAGAGTTCTTAGAATTGGTTGAAAGGAGCATACTGAACTGTGGAGTCTCGTTGCAGTGGAATTTGGGCGTTGGTCTCGGTATCCGTTGGAGGGCAATCATGACCGAGGCTTGAGGTGTTACGGCAGCTGATACACAATCCGGTATTCCAAGATGTTCGTTGGAAGAATTGACTATTGGCAAGTTGGTGCTAGAGCGGGGGTACAAGTTGGCACAAGGCAATGAGGCGGCCCATTGATGAAAAGGGCACCTGTCGTAGGCTATATGTACACCTAGCTATCACATGGCTTTGACTCGCGATTCTCATCTTGTCTGCTGACTGTCTGTGAAACCTATGGGCTTGTACGTGTGTAAGTGGACGGCCTGAACTCGTCAGAATCGGCCTTATTAGGGATCATACACCTCATAGGAGAGCGGTGCGCGAGCCGCTCCGATCCACGTAACCAGCGCAGCTCAGCACAATGTCAGGAACGCATTTAATGACAAACATGGGCAGGCAAGCACATCGGCGGTCAAGTTGGCTCTGAGCCAAAGCTTTTGGGAGGAGGACCTTTGTGTGTTTGATACCCCATACTGGTCCTGAGTCAAGTAGCTTCTCCGCGCACTCAGCTTCCGAGCCTTGAGCTACCCCGCGTAACTTTGTCCCCGCCGCCCCAGAGCAATGGCCAATTTGTGGACGGGAATGATGGAAATCCACGCTGTATTTAATGTCATTATTTAGTCGTACCTGCATAGAGTTTCATTCTCCCGGGTCGCTTTGGCCGAATGAAGGGTCCTTTTTTCAGCTCTTCTCAGCTAGGGGTTCTTGGCAGCAATCTCAATTGTTCGGGGGGGGGGGGGTTTTGAAAATATGGATAAGCTAAGCTGAGGATCAAATGTCAAACTTGAGATGAAGAGATGTAGTTGCGCGATCACGGGGGTGGAACGGATCTCTCTGACGGAGATGACGGGCATGACCACGGACTATGGAATGTGGACTGTGGACAGGAAGAGCTCGGATGTGTTGGATGAATGTGAAGGTATGGTACCGTAGGTAGGCAACGTGACCTAGGTTTGCTGCGCCTCGAGGCGAGGGGGAAACGTGACCACGAGGTCAAGGTGTGCTCTGTCGTGAGTGGCGGCGGCGGCTGGGGAAGTTTGGAGTTTGGAGTTGGCGGGGAGCTTGAAGGTGCGAGAAGTGCGGGCTGAGCAAAGAGAGGAGGTTGACGGTCCAGTACCTAGAGAGCATTGTCATAGTGGCATGCAAGTACCAATAGCCTGCTTCGATTGGATTATGGATTTGGAGATGAGGATGGTTTGGTCGAGTAGCCTGTAGGAAGCTGAGCCGGATGGTAAGGCGGTGGTTTGTCGCTATCGGTTGGTCCGGGTCCTCGGATGGGAGGTATGGGAAAACATTGGATTTTCATCACAATCATTAAATGGTACCCCCGGTTCTGGTTTCCCCAGACTTTTTGGTCAATCATTCTCGGCGTGAGAGATGGGGTCACGGGATGCAACAAGTTGATTATACGGTCCATGGATGGAATGGGAAACGCGACACGCAACAGGAATCGTCTGGGCTGGCGCACCCCAGGTGACCTCACCTTGCTTTACATTGCGCACAAAGTACACCGAAGGCGCCGAGGATGATTTGTAGCTTCCATGCTGGCATGGATATCTCTTCTCGCCTGCATCTCTGGCGCAGGCGCACCGTTGTTGTCCACATTGCGCCCGTCTCGGTGGTCCTTTTGGGTTCCTTTTGGAGGACCTGGAGAGGGAGGACACCAGGCAAGATCGGGAAGGCAAGAACGGTCGTTTCCTTTCTTTTTTCTTTTTACCTAAAGTTAATGCTTAGTTTGGGTTCATTATGTACTCGATTCAACGGTGCGCGAGACCAGACCAGGCCAGACTACAGCCCGTCTCACGTCCGTCCAGTTCCTATCGTCGTTCAATTGAGGGGAGGTGAAATGTCACGAGCGAATGAAATACTCCATTGATAGATTTTTCTCCTTCTCATTCTTCCATCTCCATGCTAAACGATCTTATATTTCTGATCATCGTAGTGTGTGTTCCTTGTTACACGATCTTTTTTTTTTTTTTTTTTTAAATCCCAACGCCATTTCCATCGAGTATTACACCCTACCAATCGCGCCAATCATAGCTGGAACAGGAGACATACGCAACCCAGACCAATCCCCGTCGTCGATAAGGAAAGAAGGTCGGCTGGCCGTTCTTTCTTTCCTTCTTTGGAGATCTTCTCGACTAAGACTTCCCTGGTTGCCTGGGTCGGGGGCCTTGTCTGACCGAAGGGGTTCTCCAACCTGGGAGTCTAGAGAGAGCAACAGCCAACAAGTACCTATCCTACAGCCTACCTCTGGCAATTGGCATCCGTCGGAAGCCAGAGCCGAGTGCGAAGCAAGAGCAGCACGCACGAGTACCCATACGCCCTGTGTCTGAGAAGTGTCTCTGAGAATTCCAGACGAAGCAATCGCAGCTTGCCTCCAGCTTAGTGAGGGACGCAGACGCAAAAGTCCTTGCCCAGCGAGAGAGACCTAGAGGTACCGGTACCAAACGGGCAAAGGTACGGAGGTACGTATCAGCAGTTGGTCTGTTCCACCTGCCTAGAGCTCCTTCTCACCTTATCCACGTCTCCCCCAACCCCGCACCAGGTGGACACCAGAGGAAGGTAAGCTCCCCAGCCCAGCCCACCTCGAGGCAAGTGCCAACCATCCCCAATGGCCCCAATGCAACTGGACTGGCAAGCCGCAGCGTTGCAAAAAAAAAAAAAAAAAAGACGAAAAAAGATGCGAGAACAAAAAGCACTGACCACCACCCCCAAGTCTCCCGAGTCCCAGCACCCAACGTGAACCGACAAAAACCACCCACGCCCCGCCCGTGGTGGCTGTAAACCCGTCTTTTTCCCCTCCATAAACCCGTTGCAAACCGACCTGACCGATTCTATCCATCAAAGAAACGTCGACCGAGTCGAGCCATCCATCACCCCACGATTGCAGTACATCTGCCCCCCTTCGCCGGCCCATCATGGCCCAATACCACAACACGGCCGCATCCAACTTGAGCCCGACGAGCTCCAATAATCCCTCCACTGCTACCGCGACCGCAAACGCTGCCGCCGCTGCGGCGGGCCAGGCTTCCACCCCCCAGCACAAACGTGTATACCAAGCTTGCATCCCGTGCCGTCGGAGAAAGGTCCGTTGCGACCTGGGCAGCGTCGACAATCCCCACGACCCCCCTTGCGTACGATGCCGTCGCGAGAGCAAAGAATGTTATTTCAGCGCAACGAGGAGGAAGCGCAAGGCCGAGGACGGCGAGGATCCCGAGCCCGAGGACGTCGATGACTACACAATCCGCAATGGCCGTAAGCGCGTTCACGTCAGCGGCAGCCCGCCTGTCGCCATCGACAAACGCCTCTACAGCGAGGTGCCCTTGACCCCCGGAGGCTCCATGGGTAGGAACCAACCTCTGCGCCGCCCTACCGACGACGGCACCCCGAGCACCACGAGCCAGGCCGACAGCCGTCAGCGGAGCGACTACGTCGTCGACGACGAACCCAACGCCCAGCTTGAGAACCGCGAGGCCCAGGACCTCATGCGACCCGGCGTCTACGGACCCCACGATGCTTTGGATCTGCTTTACAAGGCGGCCACCGATAGGTCAGTCCAGCTCCGCCATGCCCAAGACGCGGCTGCTTACCACCCCCCGGCCCACAGCCCTGTGACCAACAACCACAAGCGTCATGAAAGTGTCGCTTCCATACCCGCCATACCCCAGCAGCCCGTCATCGTCACGCCCGGTGCGACGATGAAGCCCATGGGCAATGGTAATGGACGTCCCTCGGTTCCCGTGGCACTTGAGCCGCAGCCCATCGACCCGGCCCTGACGAGACGTGATCTGTCTGGCGAGCCTGGCTACCAGGACGCCATCAAGGCCTGGGGGAGGTTCAGATTTGTCAGAGCCGGCTGGTTTTCTGCGCAAGAAGCCATTGATTATATTGACTAGTAAGCATTTCTACGTCTCGAAGTGGTAATTGCAGGCTAACAATTACAAGCTACTACGAATACCTCTCTCCACTTACACCAATCTCTCCACCGACCTTCCGCAACCCTGCATCTCACATCACCTTGCTCACAGAAGAGCCAATCCTCACCATCACACTTCTCACCATCTCCTCACGGTATCGCAAGATTCCCGGGACAGGCGGTCAATGTCGGTCCAACGCCATTCACGAACAGCTCTGGACATATCTCCGGGGCATGATTGAGAGATGTCTGTGGGGCCAAGAGGCGTTCGGGGGTGGGCTCGCAGCCATGGCTGGCGCCTCATCTGTTCCCGACGATCAAACAAGCAGCACCGCGCCCTGGCGTGGAATGAGGAAAGGCAGTCTGCGGACTTTGGGTACTATCGAATCCCTGATGATTCTCACAGAGTGGCACCCTAGAGCCCTCCACTTCCCGCCGGCTGAGGCCATTGACGAGCTCATGCTTCCGTCATATGAAGGCAGTGACCTGATCAGCACAGACGAGCACGGCAACCAGCGACCGTCCGCTAACATCGGCGGTAAGCGACTGGACAGCTGGCTCGAACCAGCTTGGAGAAGTGACAGAATGTGCTGGATGCTTCTCAGCACTGCCATGGGTCTTGCGTACGAGCTTGGCGTGTTCGATGACATTGATGAGCTGCTGCGCGACGGTGCCATCTCCCGCCCCGAGTACGAGGAAGAGGTGTACCGTCAACGGGCGTACCGCATCAAGCGCCTTCTGTTGATCTATCTGTCCCAGCTCGCCGGTCGTCTTGGTTGGACAAGCATGGTTCCCGAGGGCTTGCGCAAGAGCGATCCGGCCGTAACCCGTCGCCGCCCAACATCCACAGAGGGCACAACGCCTGGCACCAACCAATCGTCCATGTCAAACGCCTTCAACTACATCCCAGACCTAGAGCTCGATGACCAAATAATACACTGCTGGGCTGGCATAAGCAATGCGATGCACATTGGCAACGAAAAGTTTTTCAAATCCCGCAAGCACACCACCGATATCATTCAGAGCGGAAAATACACTGAGATGCTCAAAGACTTCCACCCGCTACTCCAAGACTGGTGGAAAGAATTTGAGCGCTTCAGGCTACCCCCTTACATCAGACACATTCTGACCATCGAGTACGAGTATGTACGCATCTATGTCAACTCACTTTCTTTGCAAGCTGTCGTTGAACGGTGTACCAACAACGCCGGTCACACGGCGCATGCGGGACACGGCACCCACGGTAACCACAACGCCGGAAGCGCGGCACAGCTGTCTCCCCAGACACAAAACTATTTTGGCAAGCTGCCTCTGGGCCAGCTGGGTGGCTTCGGCGCTAGTGACCAGGAGTACATAAAAGAGGTTATTAGCGGCTGCCGTAATTTGCTCCGGACAGTCGTCGAAGGTCTCCTGCCGGGCGATTACCTCAAGCACGCCCCCGTGCGGACATACTTCCGCATAATCAGCGGTGCCATGTTCTTGCTCAAGACCTTTGCTCTTGGTGCTCCACGGTCGGATGTCAAGCTTAGCATTGATTTGATGGACGAGACTGTCAAGGCACTTCGTAATTGCATCGTTGACGATGTTCACCTGGGGATTCGATTCGCAGATCTTCTCGACTCCCTGACAAGCCGGCTCCGGAACCGTTTCATCCAGGCTCCGGCTTTGGGACTTGGGTCTGCGGACGGAAGGAGTCCGGACCCTCACGGCGTGACAAATGGCGCCGCTGCCAACGGCCAGCCGATTAACGGTCCCGAGGGTCAGTCATGGGCGAACCACGCCTCAAAGTTACAGGATGGGCTCAACGCACATGGTAAGCTTCATCTTGGTCTTCTGTCATCTACCGCAGCACCAGAAACTAACAATGAGACCATAGACGACCCCGCCAACATTTCCGCAACACCCTTCGACCTTAGCACGGGTACCTTTCCCTACCCCTCAGGCGCAGCCTCGGTCCTGGGCCCCTCTACGCCTGCACCGCCACCCGAGAACGGCGGAGCCGCAAACGCCAATGGCGGCACCAACAACAACGCACCATCGTCCACGACGGGAGGCATGGAAAGCCTCTTTGACTCGACCGACTGGAATAACCCGGGCAATGAGATGTGGTACCTCCCACCCGGGCCGGCCTTTTTCCAAAACATGGACAACACAGCCGTCGCCATGACGGCCGAGGGTGTCAACGTAGGCGGTCTCGATCTCCTCGAGTACATGGCCATGGACACTGGCTTCCCCGTCCTCGACGGTCCTTCGTCGTTCCCCTGAACCAGGCAGGGCAGAATGACTTAAGGAATTCCAAGACTTACACTTTTAAAAGGGAGGATCTAAAGAAGACACAAGATAAAACGGCATCCGCAATGTGTGTTTTCATTTATACGCAAAATTGGGAGCAAGGGGACAGAGGGGAAAAATGCAAAATGAGGAGAAAAGAGGCGACCAAACTGCCCTAAGAAAGGTTGGACCGGCATGGACACGTAGCGATTTGTCTTTCGATTGTTTGAACTATATGACCCATGTACGGCAAACATGAGCCGCTTACGACTCTTCTTCGCGAGGGCCATTGTTCATTGCTCTACCTGGCAAGTACCTGGCAAGAGACATGATTTAGATATACCCTTTTTTCAAACCCCCGTGAGGTGGTTATACTAAAGATAGTAAAGATGCGATTATGCAAACTATAACCAAAAAGTGTTTCTCTCTGGCAATCATCGATCCCATATAGTCCACGCATACAGCTCACATCACGGCAAAAAGGATCCACAACACGGTGAACAATATGATATGATTACAACGAGGAGACACAGAGCCGGTATGACCTCGTAACGAAAAACTCTAACCTCTCCTCCGTCTAGCCACTCCCGCCCAGTGTCGTTTCGTAGCTTCATTCCTGTCCCTTACGATTCCCCGAAAAACAAACGCATAATCCCCTTTCACAGGCACGCAGCATCTTCCCATTTCCCTTTCCCCGCGAGTGCTTTTTTATTCAGGTAGCATACGCAAAATAGACACAACACGCAGACGCACACAATACCACAGAAAGACGAGGGGCAAACCAGAGAGAAAGAAAATCCGTAACTAAAGCCAAGGAAAAGCAGGAAGCCGGTAACGCCTAGCCAGATGCCATTGGTAAAGCGAAGCAGGAAGCCTTAAGCCCACACAATCCCTCCTTCCCTCACAAGAGAACCCTTGTCGATTCGTCTGCCCGATCGTACTCGATTCGGTCGATGGGAATGCTGTTTTCGGGAGTGGTGCAGAAGTAGGTGATCTTCCGCGAGCGGTGAGTAACCTAACTGACAAGGCCCTTCTTGCTCTTTTGTGAGGTCAGCGGCCGGTCAAATATATCCAGCCCAGCCCACTCGCAATGCCCGTACAATCCCATATGCCAAATGTTGCGTGCAAAGTCCAGTGCTTGTTGTTCAGAGGGACTCAAACCCAGGACCTGCAACACCTAGACCCGGACATATTTTTGACTCACCAAGTAGTCCCACAGGAGCTTGGTCATCTGATCCGACATCGTATACAGATCAATGGAAAACTCTCCCGCTAGAGAAAGCTGTTAGCTCAAACGCGACCCAGTGTGTGTGATTACCAATGTCGATCCCATGCATCCCCCAACACAAGGAAAACTGACCGGCCAAAAGATCGACACCAGGGGAAGCAGGCGCAAGCTCACCATCGACATCACTCTTGATGTATGTCTCCGCTGTCTTGTTATCATTGATAATCTGAATGACGCGGAGCAGGTCATCCTCGTCCAGCTTCTCAAGTGCCTGGGCAATCTTTTCGTAATCGTACTTCTGGGCGCCCTTCTTGCCGGCACCACCCTTCTTCTTGAGGCGGTCATCGTCTGATGGCAAGGGACCGGTCTCACGCAGGATTTGCTGCAGAGCCTGGGAAGGGTTCTTGAATGAAACGGTGTGCTCGGCCTCGTAGCGGTTCTTTGCGAAGTTGAGGTCGTGGCTGAGGGACTGCTTTGACTTTTCGGTGATGTAGCAATCGATCGTCATGTCGAACTCACCCCATCCCTCGTTTTCACATCGGAAAGGGGGCTTGTTGAAGGCTAGAAACGTCTGCGGTCAGCGAACCGCGAAAGGCAAAGGAGCGATCATAGGCAGGGTGTACGAACTTTGGGTCGGGTTGTCGAAGGAAGGGTGAAGGTTGTAGACGACCTTGAGGAAGCAGTCGGCCGGGTGCTCCTCACCATCCTCGCCAATGATGTAGACGTTGATCGACCATTTTCTCATGGGAAAATCCTCGACGGGGGACGGCTTGTCGCTAGAGATGAGAAGACGAAAGGTTAGGCGCTTCTGCTGCGGTAGAAGGGGTGCTTGCAGGGTGAACTTACATGACGTTCTGCTCGGTGACGAGCCTTACTTTCCTCTTGATCTCGATGTTAGCATTGGAGCGACGGGCCATGGCCTTTCGGGAAGGAGCCACGGTGGTGATGATGGTGGTTGGCGACGGTGTAGCCAGAGGGCCCCCATTGTATGTGGGGGGGAGGAGGAAGAAGAAGAAGAAGAAGAAGAAGAAGAAGAAGAAGAAGAGCGGAATGGTATGCCAAGATGGTAGATCGAAGGTGTAAGCTGAATACGCAGTATTCATCGTCGAGGCTGCCTAGGAAGCAATCATCTTCGGCTAGCCGACAGCGCAAACTGTCAACGAGCATGGTGTTTGGGCAGAGCGGGCTGGTGTGGTGGTGTCGCAAATCGACGCGACAAAGCGCGCTGGTAGGAGGGGAAGGGTTGATCGCAGTGTCTTACCTCGACAATCATGATGGGCTGCTATAGTAACGCAGAGTAGGGGGTCAAGCAGTGTGTCGAATAACGAGGCGGGGAGGTTTGGATGTGCACTGAGCAAGTGTGTGAAGTTCACCAGTTGGGATTTGGAGGTTTGGGACTGGAAGGCTGAGGGTGACGCTCGGGCCATGCAGACACCCAGGGTGTGGCTGGAAAGCTTGCCGCGTGCAAGCGTGTTGCGTGTTGCGGGGAAGAAAGCAAGGACTTTAATTGAATGGCTGTCCCTCCTGCGTCTATGCATGCTTTTCGTTTGCTCAGTGTATCAGATAGCAGACAACGCCTGCCAAAGGCTATTCTATCTGCGGAGTCAAAGCAAGCGTCATCTGTCAGGGTGCTGGCAGCGATGGCGCTTAGCAATTTCTATGCATATTCACAGGGTATTCACAGCCAAGGGCCGGGTATTGTAGTGAAGGGGTATGATTCGTCCGCGCGTCTATCTCTCCTACTGGAACGTCTAATCAATATAGAAGGGACTTTATTCTTGTTGATTTGTGCTGTGTAGAGTGTCTTGCTCCTAAGCCTTGATGCTATCCATCCGCGTATCAATGCTCAAAACAAACACCACTCGGTGCAAGTCTTTCTTGCACTCTTCAGCTTCTCCTCACCGAAGTGATCCAGCCTGCCTCGTATCGGGGGGTGTAAAAACAAGTTTGATAATGGTGCTAGTTTCGGTGTTGTTGCAGGGGGGCCGTTTTGATGACAGCCCGGCGTGCTGGGCCTTCCGTCCTCATCTTCTCACGGGATTGGGAGGTAGGGGTAATTCTAAGACTCTTCGACAGCGGGGGCGGCGGCGGTGGCCTCACCCTCAGCGGCCTTGAAAAGCTCCTCGTTATCCTTCTGAGCCTTGAGGAAAGAGTCCTTGAAGAGATTGGCGTCTATGTCCCGTTAGCTAACTGATTCATAAGTCGGTCTCCAGTAGACGATATAGACTTACTCTCGGAGTTGGCGAAGCGGATGGCCAGAGTAACGGCCTCAGCCTCACCCTCGCTAACATCGGCGGCGGCGTTCCACACCCAGCTGCGGTCGGAACCGACGTTGGGGGACAGCTTCATCTCGGGAACGACTAGTCACTGTTAGAATATCGGTGGCGCAACGAAGTCTGACGCAACGTACTGTAGTGGTTGGCGCAGACCTTGAGGGTCTTGTCACGGCGCATGACGAGACGGGTCTTGCCGTTCTCCTTGTGCTTGAGCAAACGGACGTCACCAGTGCCGCGCTCCTTCCATTCAGTCGTCTCCTTGACGAACTTGAAAAGCTTGGCGCGCATCTTGAAAAGCTGCTCCTCGGCCTCCTCGTTGGTGGTGACGTCGACCTTCTCCGTCAGCTTGATGACGGGCTCGAAGTGAACGTCTTCGGACTCGGGGGCTTCCTCTTCCTGAATCTCAAAGTCAGCAAGCAGTCAAACACTCAACGTTCTGCTACACCGAAGCAGAGCATATGATATGACGTACCTCGCCGTCCTTCTTTGCGGCATCGCGCTGGGCCTTGGCGCTGCCAGAGTTGTCACCGCGGTCCTCGTCCTCCTTCTTCTCCTTCTTGGCGCCACCTCCGAACATGGAGAAAACGGAAGAAGAGGTCACGGGCTTCTCAGCCTCGCCGGTGGTCTGTAGATGGTATTGTCAGCCATCCAAACGTAGGAATATAGAGGGGTGGATCGCGAAGCGAGGGAATAGAGAATGCGCATCGCTCCCGCCCGTCACGAAGGATCCGGGAGATGCGGTGAGCTTTGAAGCATTTTCGTACGAAAGCATGTCGTGGGCGGGGGGCGAGTGCGCGTGCGACAAAGGGGTGGTCGTACCTCGACGGGCTTGGTCTCCTCGACCTTGGGCTCGGTAGCTTCGGCAGAAGACATATTGATGGGTTTTGCGAAGTAGTGTTTTTGGGTGAAGTATGACAATGTTCAGATCTGCGGGTGGGAACGAGGAGAAAAAAACATTAGCTCGCGGACTCTGCATTACGACCAAATCTGCCCCTCATTGAGACGGGATGGGCGCGACGACATGCTCGTCATCAAGACCGACAGGAAGCGGACTGCGGGGAGCAAGACCAAGAAGAATAAGGCTTACCAGGGCTAGCAGCGGTATGTTCTGCAGTGAGGAGGGGATCGGAGAGTGGAAAGCAAAAGATGATTATGTTTCTTCGCTCGAGGTGAAGTTGGGAGTGGGTTGGACAAAATGAGGAAACAGCCCCTCATTCAAAAGTCAACAACAAGAGGGCAGGAGGGGTGTCGGGCGGGCCTGGCCCTTGCTGTTAGGTGCCCAGGCAGTGGTCATCCTGCCTTGGGCAAGTACCCCTCCACTCAAATCATGCCGAACTATACATGCTGTCGCTGCTCCTGACTCTGTGGGGATGCACCTAAGCCAAAGCCCAAGTTGGATTCGCGCAGCCAATCACGTAGCCCCCTCGATGCCTTTGCCACTGGGGACCGCCGGGAGTCCCTGATTTGGAGATGAGGAATTTGACGCTATCTTGGTCATCGCCCGGCCCTATCCGCACTATTGAACTGAATAATTTTACTAGATGATTAACATATACATCCGTTTGCTAGGAAGCTTAAGACACTCTCACATTGGAATGTCCACTTTTGTCCCCGGGTGTAAGCTCTCAGACGAGCGCGTTGCTGTCAGGTAGGAAACTTTTCCAAGAACGACTCAACTTGGGACCAAGTTTGGATGACGGACACAAGCACACGGCATCCCCAGGCACAGTTAGTAGAAGTAAGGTAGGCAGTTTTGCGACACTACTTGGAGAATCATTGCAGAAGCCTGCTCGTAATCTATCATTTCTGTCCGTTCATTCATAAAGAAGACTGTAGCCGCCTCAAAGCGACTAAAAACTCGGAAACTCGGCGGTGCTTCCCCTAGCCTGCCTCACTTCGCATCTGTGAATAGTATGGGGGATGAGTGGGGAGAGCGATGTGAATAACTAAACATTGAAGGGCGAATGAAGCAAAAAGATGAGACAGCCATTACAAAATCCATACCAATAACTCCAGTTCCGTCCTGTCCTTGTCCCTAACCGGCCTCCAAGGTATCTCCATACTTGCATGTAAAATCAGATTCAACCTTGCTGTCTGCACTGCTGCGTCCATCTAGAAAAGCCGGTGCCCGTTTGGCATCTAGCCGCCAGGCGCTCTCTCTTCCGACGAGCACGCATCTCCTTCTTCTCCTTATCCAGACGTTGCTTGGTAAACTCGGACGCCGTTGACCTCAGCTGTTCCATGTGCTTCTTGGCCTTGTCCAGGTAGATCTTGTGTTCTTCCGTCTTTTGCAGGACCTTCAACGCTAGTAGGCGAGATTGAAGTTGTGCCTTCGTGAAGATAATGTTCGCTCGGTCCTTAAACTCTTGCAACCGATGCGACGTTGTCAGGCTTTGGACGTTCTCAGACAGTTCTGTAGATCCCTTGACGATGGCATTCGCAGTGTTCGCAGCCTTCGCGGTGATGCGGGTAGACAATCCTCTAGCGTGGGCTACGACGGAGTCCAAGCTCAAGAAGTTGAAGCTTGAGAGATTGAAGGCTCGTTCCTCTGCCTGATGTGCGACACTGTTTGCTGTATCAAGGACATGGGAAGCAACAGCCTTGCCATATCCAAGATAACGTTCGAGGATGGTCTTTCCGAAATCGACCTCAAAGGTCTCATTAACCTTGGGCTTCCGGGTCGTGTTGACAGCAATGGTGAGAATACCATGGGCTTCTGACTTTGGAATTTGAATCAAGATTCCCTCATCGGTCGAAGAGAATCTAGTCTTAATCGACCTCTCGCCCTTGAGGACATCTATGGTGATCGAATCCTTGGCAAGCCACGAGGTTTTCGTGCCGGAGGGTATCTTGATCAGAATCTCATTGCGGCTGACCTTCTCTGCCGCGCAGACGTAGGCTTTGTCGGGAAATTTATCTGCAATGAAGTCGGCAAGCTCTGCGAACGGTGCAACGGCCGTGTTGCTAGTCGCCGACGCCTTTTGTGCCACCCGAATCGTTGTGGCTGATAGGTTGATTGTCGAAGTCGAAGTCGACAGAACTGTCGAAGTCAAGGGTGACAGTGAACTGGCTGTGGTAGAAGAGACTGTGGAAAGTGCTGGGGTGTTTGAAACCCCTGCTAAGAAGTAATTGGAAAGCAGTGCAGTGGCGACGACGCTCAACACGAGAAATGCGGTTTGGCCCACGACCCACGGGTCGATATCTTCGAAGGCCTCGACAGTGCGATGCCAGGCATGACCCAAAGTCTTGCTCATGCGAATAGAGCCGCACTTGCTCTTCTTCCCATCCGTATGATCATACAGGCCGGTGAGGTACGCCAAATTACGGTTCATCTGGCGCGCATCGATATTGAGAAATGAGGTCAGGTCGATTGGGAGCCTAACAGAAGGCATGGCCCGATCAGACGACTCCACGCAGATGTGGATGGCATCCTGGTTGATCATTTCATCCCACATTGCAGTAGGTTGGTGGAAGACTTCGTTGTTGGAGATAAAGATGCAAGGCACAACATGTCGCTGCATGAAGTGCCAAGCAGCACTGCGCGTTTCCTGTGCAGCCTCATCGTCATTCTCTGTGACGTAGAAGATGGCGACATGGGGCAAGGTCCAAGAGGGCTCGATGATAGAACCGCTGGGAGCAAAAGCGGACTGGAAAGTTCGATCGCCGTCCAAGGTGATGTGATATACCGTCTCGCCCAGGAAGCGTTCGCCTTGGTAGACAACCTCCTTTGCAGCCGTGCAATTCTCGACCTTGATTTGGTATTGGGAAGTCTTCATCAACTCGACTTCGGGGACCTTGGGAGAGCCAAGAGATGAAATAGGCACGACGTTGTATATACCAGCGTCTTCACTGATGCCGCATCCATCCGCCGACGCTGTGAAAGCCGAGGAAATCTTGTATATGATATCATGTCTGGCTGCATGGCTGCCCGTGTACATGATTCGGAGAGGTTCCTTCGTCGCCAGACAGTGTGACGCCATGGTCTGACGAACTGCTGCGATGAGACGCTTATTCTGGTCTGTGAAGTTGAGAGTCTTGGCGATGGAGGTCGACTGCTCCTCGGTAAAGCTGTGAATGGTATGTTTGACTGACACCTGCTTGAAGTAGACTGGGTCTTGCGTCTCGTCAAATTCGATGGACTGGACCAGTGGGGTATGCTGGCTGATGTCCATAGAGCTGTCGACCCCCAAGGGCGGCGTGGCGACGCGGGAAGATGGGCTGAGGAGGCTCTGCTCTGCGTATTGAATAGACGACGCGCGAGACCTGTCCTGCGCAGCATCCTCTGAGTCTTGCGAATCCGTATCGGACTGGTTTGCCATGTCTTCTGTTTGCTCGGTGCCAGCAAGGCTGTGAACATCATCGGGCCGGGCGTAATCAAAAGAGCTCAGAGACTCGGCCTCGGTGCCACGACCATCCTGGCTCTCGTCATCCGTATTGATGAATTCGTATGTGCTTTCGGACAGGGCCGTGGCTTCCTCGGGTGCTTCTGAGGGAGTCATTATGTCGGGTTCGCTGGAGGAAATCCAGCTGGCCAGTTGTCGGTTTCCTTGTGGTCGGGGGAACCTCAAAGTCAGCTCGGAAGATGACAAGGTTGTGGACGCTGCCGGGCTGTGGGTGGATGTGTCGACGTCTGTGGTACTGTCGGCGCTATGCTGCTCTTCCATACCGACATAACAAGGGTTAGCCTTTTGTGTTATCCCGTCATGCCTCGGAAAGTCGGAAAGCTGGAAGAAATGGGATGTGCTCGACAGTCGGCGGCTGTATGTGGTGGAAGGAATGAACGGAGTAGTTGTGATGGTGGTGGTGGTGGTGGCAGTAGTGGTGGTGGGAGGATGGAGGGGTAAAGCGGGATATGGAACAGGTCACGCTCGTGAGCTGACACAACAGACGGCGGTTGGGGGGCGTGGAGGGGTTGGTTTTTCTTCGGGACAAACGACCTGATCCAAAAAAAAAAAAAAAGTTGAATATCTTGGTAGCAAAGACGAGTCGGGGGATGCAGAGAGAAAAGGAGATTCAACTAACTCTGGTCGGGCCTTTGGGATGTGCGGGAGGATTGTGGTGAGGTGAAGTGAGGTGGATGGGTACTCAGGCAAGGTAGGTGACGGGACGTCGTCAAAGGCTATTTTCTCGGGTGCGTCGTCAGGGTCGGTCGGCGGCAGGTGTTGCCTGTGGCCCTGTACCTGTCTGCCTGGCCCAGCTTACCGAGAAGGTGCTCGACGCTGCGTACTTGCCAGCTGGTGTTGCCTTGCGGAAGGAAATGGCCAACGCGGGGTGGGGAAATGGCAAGGGACAGGAAGGGATAGGACGAGATGGGACGAGATGGCGGTCGGTTTATCGGAGGTGACTATGAAATGGAGACGTCACGCGGCTGCCACTATCAAGAAGTTGCGACAAAGATAAGGAACAAGGTACAGTCTACTAACCAGATGGCGTTGCTCACGTTTGGTCCTAGCCGTCAAAGCGTCTGCGCGCCGGGGGGTTGAATTTGGTGGATTCCCTCGAGGATGGGAGAATATTGATCGTTGAGGAAGGTAAGTTGAATGCTGTCTGAGGAAGACAGAACAGAAGACGATGGGAAGTGAAGGAAGGAAAGATGTGGTGGAGGAATCCAATACGACAGTTTGCATCGGGATGGATGGATGCACCTGAAGGGTGGTGGGTGGTGCGGAGAGAGACATTCAGGTCGGGCGCACCATGAAAAGGCAGAAAGGCAGCCGAAAAGGCGACGGGACGGCAGACGAGATACGACCAGGCGGTCCAGGAAGGTACCTACCTACCTTCCTTCTTTTACTTAGGTACCTTACCGGACCTCATATCCTGCCTCACCGTCCGCAGTCTTTGAGCGGGCAGCTGCCACCAAGTCAACTGGCAAGAACTGTCAAGCGCCAAAGCTGAGATAAGTGCACAATTCCCTCTTGCCTACCTTGCCTCTTTACTAGCTTAACTCATGTAAAGTACCCTGGGCTGGCAGCCATATCACCCAACAGCCATCGGCCAGGCGCATCTCATGTGCTTGTTGGAGGTGGGGGCGGGGTCCATTTAGGACCGAGTAAAGGCGCAACATATGGCGTTCATTTCACCTTGAAGAGCCACATCTGACATTCGTAAACGGAGTATGCGTCACTCGCTCCGGGGCCTGGATAGCTTGCGTTCAAATGGAATGTCACTGGCAACTGCCCCCGCCCACTTTGATTGCAGCTCGTTACAGCAGATCCGCATCATTGTGCCTCTTATCGATAACAAACCGGGGGAAATCGGTGCCAGCTGCGACTTGCACCACGCACCGCGCACCGCTACAACCTGTCATGGTGGGGTTCCTACCGCTACCTTATCCACTCGCCCACCATCACCCCGCCTGGAACCTCCGCTCGTGGTGCCAACACCCGACTTGGGGCCTAGAGGTACCCTTAGCTCTAACCTCTACGGGCCTCGAGTGGCATCTCGACGGAGGAAGATCCGCTCACCTCCCAACATCACCTCTTAGCTTCGTTTCCGCTTGGATTAGGTCCTATTTGGGCTTCACTTTGGCCGAACGTCTTGACTACTCTTTCGCCGGGCATAGTTACTCGGTATCTTCGAGACCCATGACAGGTCGTTTTCATGGTTCTTGCGATGACACATCTTCCAGGCTGCCGCTTCAGGCGCAAAATCTTGAACCACTTCATCCACCCGTCACCCAGGCTGAAGCAAGGTACCAACTTAAACGTCCAAGTCGTCCAATGTGGAAAGCTCAAGTGACTTCGGCCCGCTTGCGGCATAAGAAAAAGGCCAAACAGGTTCGCCACGTACCACGACCCGACGCCTCACAACAAAATCCAATAATTGCGTGAGTAATCCAGTCACGGCTCGGCGGGGGAAGAAAGCTTCAACTTCGACCTTGGGTGTGCGAGGCCCGCATGTCTCCCGAATGTTTCACATTTTTGCCGTCTTTCTTATCTTCCCATCGAAGCTCAGCGGGGATGCTGCGACTAAGAATCCCATGTCTTAGCCGATGAAAAGGGTGTGTGGCTGCAATGCTATTTGAATGTGGCTCATGCGCGAGTACTGATAAGGGGCGGTGCAAATTCAATATCCGCTTCCTCGGCCCTCTGGACTAGCCAGGTATCATCTCTGATGTGAGTGTGAGAAGTCAAGGGGATTATAGATGTTATCACAGCCATTACACCATGGTAATTTCGAAGCCAAGGCACTTTGGACTAAAGTAGCCAGATTTTGCGATTGATATGAGAACTCAAAAATCACTATGCAAAGTATATATGCTCTCGAGTTCGTCGCCATCATGATCAACATCGTCCTACGGAAAGGGCAAGTCTTCCAACGCTCGCCGACTACTGTGACGGCTTGTTGCCAGCAGTCACCGAAACGAGAACGCCCATCGTGAGACTGATATACAAGTCCATCACTCAAGTCTGTCCATCGCCGTCACACCTGCATTTTAAGCCGTGGCTTGAAGGTTGCTGTATGAGAGTTTTTGCGCTTTACATGAGTACTCACTCAACCAGCGTAACATATGCGAGGAAAGACTGCTCCGGAGCCCGATAGATAAACGCGGGCACACCGCGTCTTGAGCCTGTATGCGTGCAAATACCAAGTTCATGGCAGCTAGGGCGACAAACAGGACGTATCAATTCACCCTGATAAATTGGTTTCAGGCCGACCAGCAACGCAAGGGACTTACACCCACACATACTTTAGACGCTCATACTTGTTGTATTCAATAGGCGCGGAAGAGAAAAGATCGATGTACAAAGAAAAAGGAAAGAAGAGGCTGGACTCGAAACCTGTGCAACCCGAAATACTCTTCACCTGAAGCAAAGAGCAAACGGGCTCTCGGAAAGCAAACCAGTAGTGCCAGTCAATCAGCCAGCTCCCTACCCCAGCCTCCCCTTCCCCGGGCCGGAACACGTTGCCGGAATTTTCGTTCCCCGGGCTCGTGGTTTCTGGTTCCTCCCGAAGGAGAAAATCCACCGAGGTCCTTGTCCTTGTTCTTGTCCACCCCTCTCCTCCAGCCCTAGGAGGCTGTCATCATGGTATCGGTGCCTTTCGTCGACGGCTTCCGTCCAGTATGGGCGACGGCTTTGACATTGAAGGGAAGCATGTGTATCTAGGGGTGGGACAAACGGAACCCTTAAAACGACGAATATGCAATGTAACCTCTCATTTTACCGACATCAATGAAATCACGAGCAGCACGTCCACATTATTTGTGTGAAATTGTTGAACAGAGTCCACGTGGACTTGATAATTCTACACGGAATCGGTAAAAGTTGGGAATCCAGCCTACAGTCCTTAGATGCCGTTGCTGCATGATGTTGCATTTTTATCTTCCCAAACCCACAGCCAATACGTTTCTTGCATGATAAACCGACATCTCGGGCATGAATCTCCCCTTCATCATTACAGAAACAAGAAAATCCCGAAGGAAAGACCAAGGGTCTATCAATGTCTTCCCCCAAGGTGACGAGAATACTCCAGAGAAAACTCCGCTCCACAAACCAAAAAGTCCGGGCGAGAGAGGAGGCAACTAAATGCGCAATGAAAATGGTGTAAAACAAAACATAAGGGAACCGTTATGCTCGCGGAATGGAACGCGCTGCAAAATGGGGGTATCGTAACAGAGGAGATGAGGTTGTTTTTGCGTTTGATGAGTGCTGTTTGTGACCGTGTTTGTATCATAGAATGTCGTGCTTCTGGAAAAGCCGTGCCAACGTGTCGGTACCAAACATCTCGTCATCGGGAATCATCTCAATGATGCCTGTGAGGTTGGCGATCATGTCACCCTGGTTGCGGTACGCCAAAATTGCAGGCACGGCGGCATTGTCGAACTCAATGTCAAGGTAGTGTACCTTGACAAAGTGTATTGTTGAGTGCTGCGAAACAAGAGGCATCATGGCATGCTCTATTGTCGCAGAAACGTCACACTGGAAGTCTCGTTAGTACACAGAACTGGGAACAACAGACCAATGGGACTCACCTCTGGGTCATAGACGAAAACGACAACAACAGTGTCCCGCGCAACCTTCTCAATAGCATCAAGGTAGCCCAAGGCGTCCACCTCATCCAGACGTCCGTAAATTCGCACACTAGGACTTGTTCTCCGGTTCCGGATGACCTTGTTAGAGTCGCTCTCGAGTTCTCTCCGGCGGCTCTCGCGCCATTGCTGCATGAAGCTGTCGTCAGAGTCGCTGCCGTTGCCCTCGTCCGTCTCGCTTTCGCTCTTGTGTGATGGCGGCGGCTGCGAGCTGATGTTGTCGAGGCCGAAGATGGAGCGCCTCACTGTGGTGCGCGCGCGGCTCATGAAGGAAGTCTTGCGAGCGTTCTCGTAGTTGCGGGCATCGGCGATGACGCCCTTGACACCAGTGGTACGACCTGCATCGAAGCTAGCTGGGGGCAGCTTCAGGTTGGAGCCGGTCTGACCAAGAGATGGCATACGCATGGCGGCGTCGATCTGGGAGTTGCGATATCTCTCTTCCTCGTCGAGGTCAAGGCTGTCTTGTTCGCGACGGTCGTGATCTCGGTCTTCGGGGTGTACTTTGCTGTCGTCACGGGAGTTTGCTGCTAGCAGAGCGTTGAATTCTTCCTGGGCTGGGGTAGGGTTCGACATCGTCAACGTCGTGTGGCGCGGCCGAGGAGGGGGAGCTTGGTTTATGTATAGGACAATGGGCGGAGGAGCGGGTGGGCGTGTGGTCAGAGGGAGGAGGTTGCTGTCCGGGGGTGTTGTCCGGGGGTGTTGTCCGGGGGTGTTGTCAAGAAGGAGTAAACAAGCAGGTTGTGAAGAGTTGGCAATCGTGCGACGTTGAGCTTGGAAGGGTCTGCCCGGTTGTTCTGTCAGGGCGTCTAGTCGAGCAAGCAAAAGTGACTTGTTCAGACAAGGACAGGATGGGTAGCGCAATTGGTGGTGGAAGAGGCTGGAGAGGAGAGGACGGACGGACGGTGGGAGGCGAAGCAGAGATGACTGGGAGTTGGATCGGAAGGATGGAGGCCCTTCGATGGATTTTCTCGAAGCAGTGGAGTCGTAGCCAGGGGTCAACCCTTGCGTGGACCACGATGCGGTGAAAGCCGGGCCCCAGTGGTGCAGTGGATAGTGAAGAGTCAACAGACTGGCGCGATGCGTGAGTGGTGCGGGATGTGCGCAAAAGGGCAAAAGGGGGGCTCGAGGGTCGAGGATCGAGGGTCGACGTGGAAGCCCCTGGGGTGCGTCAGGCTGTTTCAGAAGCGGCGGAGGCGCGTGGTTGCGAACAGGGGAGACTGGACGGCAAAGTGTGGATGAATGGTGCGGAGTAGAGGCCTTGAGAGGTATGTATTCGTGGGTTGTGTGGTTGTTCGGGGGTATTGGGGGTTAGTGACGGGTCCAGGTGAGATCTGGTTGCGGTAAGAGGTATGTAGTCCGCGATGTTAAGACGAGGATGCGGGAGTTGATGATCGTTTGCGGGCGCAAAGACGCTGGAACGCTTGCACGGCAAGACCGGACAATTTCATTCCAGCCTTGCAACTTGATTGAGCTGCCCACCCCCGTCCAGGCCCCGGTTCCCGATGTCGATGAATTTGGGCGAGTCAACTTGCAAGGACACGAATGCCGAACTGGGACGTGCAGATGACGGAACGAGAGGCCAGCCACGATGGTGTCGGCACGCATTGAGGATACCGGCGACGTGGAGGGAAGGGGCAGAAAAGAAAAGCGGGGCCTTCTACAAAGTACGGAGTATTCGTACCTTACAAAGTATCCGTACTTTGCAGTAACACAGTAAATTGTGTGGAGGCAGGTGCCAGGCAATGGTAGCCAGGGCAGGGAAAGAAGGGAGGCGGCTGTGAAAGAAAACTGCAACTGCAACCTGACTGGAAATCAAATGCAAGTGCCAAATGCAACTGCATCTGCAACTGCAATGTACCAGTTTGTAATGTATCTTCCTGTCTGTCTGGCGTCTGCATATTCCTTCCGATAAAGTTATGGAAGAATGCAAAGTTGGGCAAATTACCACCATTTCCTTTACCGCAGACCAACGGCCAACGCGCAAACCTTCCGTACCTAGGCTGCAGCCCAAATAAATCTTTGCCAAAGTTCCGCCGTCTCAAACTAACCCTCATCCAGGCTACCTTTCTTACCTTACCCCAAGGTACGGACCTGTTACCTTGCGATGGCAAGAGCTTGGTCGAAAAAGGGGCCGGTTCGATCAGACTACCTATCTATTACTGCGTCCACAGTAACGGTACTCTTACGGAGCAGAGCAGAGAAAGGGTGAAGAACCGCAACATCCGTTCCTCAGCACCACACCCTCTTGCTTTTCCTCTGCCCGCGTGGCTTTGCTGGGATCATGGTGCTTGTCAGGACCATTCGACCCATCTCTGCCCATTTTCTCTCCTTTTTGCATCGTCGTCACTCCACGCTGGTCCAATCAATGCCAACCAGAGCGAGGTGGGGGGCAATTCGGGACCTTGCAGATAGGATGCACGCTGCAGGTCGATGTGTTGGCTGAGCCGCTTTCTACTATAATACAGAGTATTCTTTCTTTATTTGTTATTCCTACACGAAAATCCCCCGTCGGCCCGTTGGAGACATCACGCAGTTGACCTTTAGCTCCGACTCTCGAGCAATGGACGGGCCGGTCACGAGGAATGGCGCCGAAGCCACGCCAAGACTTCCAAAGTTGGCGAGCGTGATGAAGAAACAAACACCGCTATTTCTCGTGTTAGGCCGTCTGTGGGTTGACGAGTAGACCCAAATTTGGCTCACCACGTACAATGTACCAACCGCGATTGGGAAGACGTCTCGAAACTGACTTTTCTCCAGTGCTCTTGAGTTGGCGAGTGCCTCGTATTACCTCGTACATTCTTCTACAAGTCCTCCAACGGTTGCCTCAACTTCCATACACAGTAGGAGTATCCGTATGGGCCATCGGCTTTCGCTTCCTCGGGTTCCTCGAAACCGTCTCTTTCGCTTTCCTTTCCAAATTACACCTTACTCGAGGCGCTCCAATTTGCAACTACGCCTGTGCTCGCATTTCTAACCCTCCTGCCTCAGACATTATGTCTCATTTCGGCTAGTACGAGTCGTTGCGCCTTACCAGGCCAGTGCGGGAGGACCCTGCATCGGAGATGGTGCTGCAACTGGCAATTATTTGTGTAGAGAAGGAGATTGATACCGCTGGGCAGCGACGTTCCTTGCTTTGGTGCCTATTCGTGAGTGTCTCGCATCAAGACACAATGTCTCACGCCCAACTTCTTCACCACATCTCCAAGCCCCAGACTCTATCCGTAGTCGGTCCAGC